TCCACCCCCAAAGTCTCCAGGTATTTTCCAACCCAGACCTGGCAACCCGAGTCAGTATTGTCTAATAAGACCTGCAGCGGCTCTCCAGGGTCTCAGGCAGAGATCTTTCGCATCATCTACAACCTCATCCTTGTAACTGGAGATGCTGGGGGAGGGGGGGGGTTGAACCTTGGCCCTTGATTTATTTGATTTCTATCCCCACCCCCCTGCAAGTGGGCTCATGGCAGGTTACAGCATGAAATATAAACAATGCCAGCTTTAAAATATTAAAATGTCGTAAAGGTAAAGGTTTCCCTTGCTCGAAAGCCAGTCGAATCCGACTCTAGGGTTGCGGTGCTCATCTCCGTTTCCAAGCCGAAGAGCCAGCGCTGTCCGAAGACATTTCCATGGTCATGTGGCTGGCATGACTAAACACCAAGGCGCATGGAACGCTGTTACCTTCCCACCGAAGTGGAACCTATTTATCTACTTGCAATTTCTTGCTTTCGAACTGCTAGGCTGGCAGGAGCTGGAACTAGAGACGGGAGCTCACTCCGTCATGCGGCACACTCGGGTCTTGAACTGCTGAACTACCGACCTTCCACAGCCTGCAGTTCAGCGTCTTAACCACTTGAGCCATAAAAGCACAGTACAAGAGGGCATGTTTAAAATTTCCTAACTTCCTGGTTCTGCGCAATAGAGGAAGTATCGTTCTGAACGATGGGTTCCCATGTTGTAAGAAACAGCTTAGTCCAGACATATGAGCATAAGGGGCCCCGGTATTATGGGATGCCCGCTGCCTCCACTAAAAGCCTGGTGGAAGAGCTGCGTTTTGCAGGCCTTGAGGAACTCTAAAAGATCCGCCAGGGCCCTGATCTCTGTTGGGAACTCATTCCATCAGGACAGGGACAGGGCAGAGAATGCCCTGGCACTGGTTGAGGCTAGACGGATGCGTCGTTTGAGCCAGGGACCAGTGTTCCCTCTAAGCTGAGTCAGTGTGGGCTAGCTCACAGTTTTCTTAGCCTCCGGCTCACACATTTTTTTGTCTCAGCTCAGGAAGGGATGGCCGCAGAGCAAACGAATGTATGCAGCAGCCAAATCGCTCGCTCACAACTTTAATGCCAGTAGCTCACAAAGTAGAATTTTTGCTCACAAGACTCCACAGCCTAGAGGGAGCATTGCCGGGGACTACCAGTAGATGTTTACCTCTTGAGCGCAGAGCCCTCCTGTGTTCCAAGCAGATGCTCTACCAATGGGCTCCACAGCCCTCTGGATGGGCCCACATCTCTGGCAACACAGCAGTTGTCTGGGATTCGAACTCTTGGGAAGTTGAGGGGAGGAGCTTTCCCGAGGCCTGCGTCCCCCCCAGGGATGGTCTCAATCAGTGTTCCCTCTAAGCTGAGTTAGTGTGAGCTAGCTCACAATTTTTTAGCCTCCGGCTCACACATTTTTGTCTTAGCTCAGGAAGGATGGCTCCAGAGCAAGCTAATTTATGTACTAGCCAAGTCGCTCCCTCGCAACTTTAATGCCAGTAGCTCACGAAGTATTTATTTTTTTTGCTCACAAGAGTCCACAGCTTAGAGGGAACGTTGGTCTCAATCAAAGCACAGAAGTATCAACATGCTCCTGAATTCTTGGGCCTCTCTCTTGCAAAGTTTCCAGCCAGTATTAGGTTAAAAAAAATCTGACCTTCTTTGAAATGATAACGTCAGTCGGGAATCCTACTTGGTTTGCATTGTGTTTTTCACTTCCCATCAGAATTCAGACTTCTAGCTGTAATGACCAGAATTGGAGTGACGGAGGCATAAAAAGACCCCAGACCCGAACGTCCGTTCTTCAGAGTCGCCGGAGAAAACTGGTAAGAAACTCAGAATGTACTGACAGCCCGAATTGTGGGCTTTTCGTTTGGATTTCAGTGTTCGTTTCTGGCTTCCTGAAATGTTCAGAATCAAGTCGCGCGTGTGTGGGGGGGTACAACTCGGTTTGTTGGCAGCTCAAAGATACACTGTTGCTTTCTCATGTGCAGCTTCTTCAGCACTCAGCGAGGTCCATTATAATTATTTAGTTGTCTGCCTTTCTTGGTAAGGTTCAAGATGGATTAATGGAGCTACAGAAGACAGTGCAGTAAAGACAGAACCATTCATACCATGAACGGTGCAAGACAACTGAATCACACAAATTAAAGAACAGTGAAACGCAAGCAGTATAGTGCATCGCATAAACTGAATTTCACAGTTAGAGAACCAGCATCCAGCAAGCTCAGAGTTCACAATGGCAGGATGCTGAACTATGTACGACTATATGCAGCGTAGATTCAGGTGGGTAGCCATGTTAGTCTGAAGCAGTAGAGCAAAGTTTGAGTCCAGTGGCACCTTTAAGACCAACAAAGTTTAATTCTGGGTATAAGCTTTCATGTGCACACACAGGAAAGCTTGTACCCAGAATTAAACGTGGTCGGACCCAGTGTTCCCTCTAAGCTGAGCTAGTGTGAGCTAGCTCACAGTTTTTTAGCCTCCGGCGCACACATTTCTGTCTTAGCTCAGGGAGGATGGCTCCAGAGCAAACTAATGTATGCAGCAGCCAAATCGCTCGCTCACGACTTCAATGCCAGTAGCTCACAAAGTAGAATTTTTGCTCACAAGACTCCACAGCTTAGAGGGAGCATTCTTGGACCCATGGCTACCGTAACATCTAGTTTGGCTCCCAGAAGTGCAACCATTCAGGAAAAGAAAGAACAGTTTCCTTGCGGGGAAGCAGAGGGGAGGGTATTCCATTCCCCCCTTCTATAGGGTTCTGCTTGGAATTTAAAAAAACAACAACCCAAAAACCTTGAGCAGAGGGGGATCAAGTTTTAACAAGATGGATATTGAGTTAGTCAATAATCTCTATGTCTTATGCTGCTTATTTCAATATACATACATACATATATATACATATACATACATATACATACATACATATATATACATATACACACACATATATATATACATATACATATACACACACACATATATATATATATACACACACACACACAGATATATATATATATATATAAACTGAAGGCAGAAAATGTACAAAAAAAGCCAAATTATTATAATAAATAGACGTAATAAATAACTACTGCAAAAAGTTTTTTGAGGAATTATATATATATATACACACACACACTCTTACGAAACACTTCCGTAACACTGACCCTAGGTTCAATGCTTTCTGTAACCTGCAAAGCCAGAGAGAACTGGGCTGTGAACGCCAGGCGACTGGGAGTCCTAAAACTTGGTGCATGGACCTAAAACTTTTGATAGCATATGATGTGAAACGAAGCTGTCTGGCTGTGCAAGTTAACGTGCAGTTTCCACATGACGTATGAAGGGTGGAGATGGCCATCAAGTCTCAGCCAATTTACGGCAACCCCGTAGGGTTTCCAAGGTGTCCAGAGGTGGTTAGCCACTGTCTGCCTCTGCATAACAGCCCTGGACTTCCTTGGAGGTCTCCCATCCGAGTATTAGCTGTTCTCTCAAGAGAGCCAGTTTGGTGTCGTGGTTAAGTGCGGGGACTCTAATCTGGGAGAACTGGGTTTGATTCCCCCACTCCTCCACTTGCACCTGGCTGGATGACTTTGGGTCACTCTCAAGCTCTGGCACAGCTGTCCGTGGAAAAGAGCAGTTTGTGTCAGAGTTCTCTCAGCCCCACCCACCTCACAGGGTGTCTGTTGTGTGGAGGGGAAGGGAAAGGAGTTTGTAAGCCGCTCTGAGACTCCAAGTGAAGGGCAGGGTATAAATCCAATCTCTTCTCTTCTTCTAATCTGGGAGAACCGGGTTAGATTCCCCACTCCTCCTCTTGCACCTGGTTGGATGACCTTGGGCAAGCCGTGGTTCTGATAAGAGCTGTTCTTGAAAAAGAACAGTTTCTGTCAGAGCTCTCTCAGCCCCACCTCCCTCACAGGTTTCTGTTGTGGGGAGGGGAAGGGAAACGAGCTTGTAAACTGCTATGAGACACCTTTGGGTAGAGAAGGGCAGGGTATAAATCCAATCCTCTTCTTCTAATCTGGGAGAATCGGGATTGATTCCCCACTCCTCCACTTGCACCTGCTGGATGACCTTGGGCAAGCCGTAGTTCTGATAAGAGCTGTCCTTGAAAAAGAGCAGTTTCTGTCAAGAGCTCTCTCAGCCCCACCTACCTCACAGGGTGTCTGTTGTGGGGAGGAGAAGGGAAATGCGTTTGTAAGCCGCTCTGAGACTCTCTTTGGGTAGTGAAGGACGGGGCATAAATCCCATCTCTTCTTCTTCTTCTTTTACCTCACAGGGTGTCTGTGGTGGGGAGGGGAAGGAAAAGGAGTTTGTCAGCCGCTCTGAGACTCCCCTGGGTAGTGAAGGGCGGGGCATAAATCCCATCTCTTCTTCTACTAACCAGGGCTGACTCTGCTTAGCTCCCAAGATCTAACAAGATCAGGGCTAGCCTGGGTCATCTAGGTCAGGGCAAAAGTATCTGCCACTGAACCACCTAACGAGAACATGGAATGAATGAATGATCGGTCTAGTTGCAACAGAACTCATGGGGCATTCAGAACCCACCGGGTGTTCAAGGCAGGTGAGCTTATGGCAACCCCGTAGGGTTTCCAAGGTGTCCAGCGGTGGTTTGCCATTTTCTTCCTCTGCATAACAACTCTGGACTTCCGTGGTGGTCTCCCATCCCAAGTACTGACCATAGCCAACCCGGCTTAGCTTCCAAGGTTTGGCAAGCTCAGGCTAAACCAGGCTATTTGGACTTTTTTAATGCGGATAAGTGTATAAATGCCATAAGAAAATAATAGAATATTTCACTAGTGCATTGAAGTATTTACTGTGTCATTAATGTTCTCCTAGCTGTTACTGTCCATCTCCCAGAGCCAATTTGGTGTAGTGGTTAAGAGCAGCGGACTCTAATCTGGAGAGCCAGGTTTGATTCCCCACTTCTTCACTTGAAGCCTGCTGGGTGACCTTGGGCCAGTCACAGTTATCTCAGAGCTCACTCAGCCCCACCTACCTCACAGGGTGTCTGTTATGAGGAGAGGAGGAGAAGGTGCTCGTAAGCCGCTCTGAGACTACCTCCGGTAGTGAAAACTGGGATATAAATCTGATCTCTTCTTCTAATGACAAAAGCCAAGACATGAAGGCTGCCAATATTGTTGGGCATTCAGAGGTTAAAGCTACAGGTGAGCCAATTTGGTGTAGTGGTTAAGAGTGGTGGACTCTGATCTGGAGAACCAGGTTTGATTCCCCACTCCTCCACATGAAGCCAGCTGGGTGACCTTGGGCAAGCCACAGTTCTCTCAGAGCTGTTCTCTCAAGAGCAGTCCTCAAAAGAGCTCTCTCAGCCCCACCTACCTCACAGGGTGTCTGTTGTGGGGAGGGGGGGAGGGGATTGTAAGCTGCTCTGAGATTCCTTCAGGTAGTGAAGGGCAGGGTATAAACCCTCCTCCTCCTCTTCCTCCTTCACATTTTCTCACCCCAGGGAAGAGCACTCAACCTGTGCCACTGTTTGCCGTGTCTGAGCTGCAGGAGTTTCACTTGGATCCAGGAGACAAAGCCTGTCACCCCCGGCATTGCTGCTGACTAGGAGAGAGCTGAGGCCCTGTGGTGTTTGCCCCCCCCCCATAGTGCTGCCTGCCCTCCCGCAGCCCAGAGAAGCAGCCTCTTTAAACACGTCCTTGAATCACCCTTAAATTCAATAGTGTTGTGTTTTTTTTTAAATAAAGCATAACTAAAATGTCCATTCCCTCTCTGCTAAGTGAAACATGTTGTTGAACTGTAACAGAATTTTTCAAGGTTACAGTTTCAAGCAGGGGTCATTTCATAGAAAAAGAGGTGCAGAAGCTCATGAGCATAATTTATTAGCATAACTCATTTGCATATGCCACACCCCCTGACATCACCGGAAGTGTGTCAGAAGGCAACACCCACCGCTCAGGCTCCACTGGACTGTTTTGGATTGCTAGCTATTGGGGGGGGGGGAGAACGTGCAGATCTGTCCTCACAGAGGAGGGAGAGCTTGTACCTGAATAAAAACTTGGTCTTATTGGTGCCACTGGACTGTTTTGGATTGCTAGCTATGGGGGGGAGGCACACAGATCTGCCCTCACAGAGGAGGGAAAGCTGGTACATGAAGGCGGGCTGGGGGGGGGGCTCTGCAACTTACCTGGCTGCTTCTTGCTCCTTGTGGCCCGGGTGAGGGCTGCTGGGAGCAGGGGGCGGGGCTCGTTGCATGTGCCCGCCCCCTGGGCTCCTTACTGCTGGAGCACCACTCCTGTGTGCTCTTGCAGGAAATGAACCCTGGTTTCAAGTAAGACTGTATTGCAATGATTGGCTTGGAGAGATTTACGCTCACTGGGTCGAAATCTCACACTGAGGAAAAAAGGCGGTCACATTTGGCACAAAGACCCCTGATGGCTTTCTTTCTTAGGGAATCACCGATGCAACTTCTTCTGAAGACGAGGGCCCTGTGTGCCACAGTTTGGCAAGGAGACGGCTGGACATGGGAACCACAAAAGGGGGCAAAAGTAGGTTTGCGGGATTTTTTTTATGGTGGGGGGTTATCATGGACATAAAACAAATTCAGAGCTTATCAAAGCCGTAGGGGACTCTCATTTGCGACTTTCATATCTTATCAATTCAGTCATCCAGTTCTAAATTCATTGAGAATATCTAATTCATGCTTAAAATAAATTCAATGTGTTGTGTAAAATAGATGACTACCTGGATAAACTCAGGCTATTGTTCTTTGGTCACATCATGAGGGGATTATATTCCAATCGAATCGATCACGGTCTAAGCATATTCAGTATGGTAAACAGAAAAATGAATTAACACTGTTAGCATTAAGGATTTTTTTTAACCCTAGGAGTAGGGCTGCCAATCTCCAGGTGGTGGCTGGAGTTCTCCTGGGATTATAACTGCTCTCCAGGCGACAGAGATCAGTTCACCTGGAGAAAATGGCTGCTTTGGAAGGTAGAGGCTATGGCAGAATACCCCGCTGAAGTCCCTCCCCTCCCCAAACCCCGCCTTCCTCAGGCTCCACCCTCAAAATCTCCAGGTATTTCGGAGCCCAGCATATAGCAGCACTCTTGGGGGTATACAGGGCACTTGTGCTACCATGTATGCTCTGTGGCTCACCAATTTGGTTTTCAGGTCAAGTTAAACGACTGAATAAGCTTCAGACAACTTTTTCCCCTGTAAAATTCTTGCACTTCCCCCATGTACAGCCTCTGCAGTCATGCGGCTTGAATTGGGTCTTCCCAGTCGTTTCTACTTTGATGTGGAAAGCGATCGTTAAATTTAGATTGCTTAACAATTAAGACCTCCCCGCTTTCACTTGATCGACAGCTGTTGAGTGCTGTCACTCTTTGTGGAACAGAGCTATAGATTTTCAAATTACTCGGTTGTGCCCGGTGAGGCCTTTGAGCCCAATAACAAAGAAGAAAAGAGAGCTACTCATCAAGAAATGACTTAAACAGGATTGGGACTTCTTGCTAAAGGATGCCAGGAAGGAAATGTTCTCCACTTTACACAGGAATTAAATATCCAGCTGAATTTGAATCTCCACACTATCGTCACATGTTGACGGTTCCTAAACTGAGACGATCATACATGATCGCGCACTGTAATGCATTACCCACAGCTCAGATGAAAGGTCGCTTTCTCAGGACATCTCCAGAACAATGCTTTTATGACTGCTCTTTACCAGCAGTTTTTTTATTGCCCAAAACGTGCTGAGGCCTGGGAGAAATTCCTTTTGAAATGGGAATTAAAATATTCACCTACTGGGGACACTCATGAGCTAAGATTACTTCCGAGTGGCCACAACAAAACTTGTACTCTTGAAGCAGCTACTTTTTGCTTCGTTGTTCTTAATTCTTAAATAATGGTGCGTGGCCTACAGGCTTTTAAACCTGAATAAAACATCAGAATCATGAGGGGACAAAAGACAGTAATGCTTGGAAAAGCTGAAGGCAGCCAGAAAAGAGGACGACCCAACAGGAGATAAATTGGTTCAATCGATGAAACCACAACCCTCAGTCTGCAGGACCCGAGCAAGGCTGTTAATGAGAGGACATTTTGGAGGATATTCCAGGGCTATTTTTGGGCAGGAACACACAGGAACGGAGCCCTTAGGCGGTGAGCGGTCTATAAATTGAAAGTTAAATAAATAAATAAATATGAATGTTTCCCCCACCCATGAAATGTTTTGTGGACAGAACCAAGCGTACAAGGAGAGTTCAGAGAACAAGCAACCGCTGGACTGTCGGACGCTGAAGCGGACCACCCTGGCCAGAGTCCTCTACCCAGTCCCAGTTTGCCCTGTAAGCCTCTTGGGCAGGATGAGGGAAGCGGTGATAAGCAGCCCATGTCCATCTTCAGGACGGACGGTGCATCCGAGGAGGAAAGCGGGAGCGGCAGACAGGAACTTGCTCGTGAGGAAGCTGCAGAACGTAAGGCGTCTACCCCGAAGCAGTTTGACAGAGAGGATCTTTGTTTGCTGGATGCCACCAAGGAAGGCAACGTGGGCAGGTTTCTCAACGTGAGTAAGCAGCCGTCTGTCTCCTTGTCTTGATACTTGGATGGTGGTTTTTGAAAAAGGCTGGTGGATAAATGGCGTGTGCGCCTCTGGCTGGGGACTGTGTGACCCCGGCCCGCAGCTACGGTGGGGCTATTGCGGGCTCAGTTCCTCCCTTTAAAGGGACAGCCCCACAAGGTTTCCCTCCTCCCTTGCCAGGGGAGTCTTCTCCCTGCTTCCTGGCAGGAAGAAGACTCCGCGACCAGCAATGGAGGCCACAATGCTACCCTCTCTTCACCTGCCAGCCAGCTGAGCAGAGGGGGGGGGGGGGGTTAAACTTTAAACCCTCCCTTTGCTCAGCTGTCTGGCGGGGGGGGGGAAGAGAGGGGAGGCACATTTAAACCCTTTTGGGGTTTAAATTTTTATTTTAAATTAAGGCCCCCCCAGCACCAGCAGCACCCCAAAGCACCCCAGGATAAAAAATTCTGCCTACAGGCCTGGTGTGACCCCTGCACCCAGCTCCGTGAGCAGCACGGAACGCGGACCTCCCCCACATGTCTCAGCTCCTAAGAGAGACTAATACACTGAATCCCTGTTCACATGTTACAGTGAACGCACGTACCTCCTGCCTGGGTGTGCATACATATGTTTGTAAGGCAGAGCCAAATGTGTATTCACTTTGCAGTCGAAACTGGCAACCAGTAGCTGGGTTTTAAAAAATGGGGTTTGGATTGCGTGCTCCCTATACGTGCACTGAGCGTAACATGAGAATAACTCAGCCTGTGTATTTTTAAAAAGTCAAGTGCACATGGATCATAATGTGCCTTCGTTGTAAGTTGCGAACAGGGCTTTGGTTTGGGTGTTGTTGGATTATTTTTATTTCGTTTCGCTAGATGATGTACAACTGAAATTTGAAGCTCAGGGTAAATAGTAGATACAAACATACAACTGGAGTGCGTTTGAATAAGCTTAGCTCGGGGTCCTCAACGTGGGGCCCACTGACACCTTTCCTGGTGCTCCCCCAAGTGTTTTTAGAAAGTGGCTGTGTCCAGGTGGGGCTCCTGCCCAGCATGGCTCTTGATTGGCCACTAAAGAGCTGAATGGCTGTACAGATTTTAAAAAACCCTTTTTCAATAGCAGCTACCACGACAGTGTTGGTTTGGTATAGTGGCTAAGAGTAAAAAGGTAAAGGTAAAGGTTCCCTTGCTCGAAAGCCAGTCGAATCCGACTCTAGGGTTGCGGTGCTCATCTCCGTTTCCAAGCCGAAGAGCCAGCGCTGTCCGAAGACATTTCTGTGGTCATGTGGCCGGCCTGACTAAACACCAAGGTGCATCGAACGCTGTTACCTTCCCACTGAAGTGGTACCTATTTATCTACTTGCAATTTCTTGCTTTCAAACTGCTAGGTTGGCAGGAGCTGGAACTAGAGACGGGAGCACACTCTGTCTTGCGGCACCCGGGTCTCGAACTGCTGAACTACTGACCTTCCGCAGCCTGCAGTTCAGCGTCTTAAGCACTTGAGCCACTTGAGTGGCAGGACTCTAAACTTTGTTCTTTGTATTACAAGAATTGGATAAATTGTTGTGTGGGCTGGACTCCCAGTATTTAATTGTACCTTTATAAATCGGGGGAAGGGATCTTCTTTCTTCACTTTCCAATAATTATGTATTTTTGTATTTGTTGCTTGAGCAAGCATGATCACATCTATATTTGTGGACTTTGTGTATCTAGAAAGTGCAGTAATGTGTTTGTAACCAATTTACAAACATATAGAGTAAATGTTTGTGTAGTTAGAACAGATAAAAGAAGTACTTCTTCACCCAAAGAGTGATTAAGACATGAAATTCACTGACACAGGAGGTGGTGGCGGCTACAATCATGGACAGCTTCAAGAGGGAATTAGATAAGCATATTGTGCAGGGGTCCATCAGTGGCTATTAGCCACAAGGTATAGATAGGAACTCTCAGTCTGGGACAAGTGATGCTCTGTCTTCTTGGTGCTTGGGGGGGTCAACAGTGGGAGGGCTTCTAGTGTCCTGGCCCCACTGCTGGATCTCCTGATGGCACCTGGTATTTTTGGCCACTGTGTGACAGAGTGTTGGACTGGATGAGCCATTGGCCTGATCCAACATCGGCTTCTTTTATGCTCTTCATTTATGCTCTTCATTTTATAGCAATCCACCCTTTCCTCCTGTGCTAATGATGATAATTGTCCATGTTTGGATTTTTTTTTAACTTTCGTTGTTAGGAAAGGAGGGAGTAGACTTCTAAAAAAATTGCCCTGCTTCTGGAAATGGCCAGTTTTGCCACCTCCAATATAACACTATAAGTCTGTTCAAAAGGAAAGCAAATCCTCTTGTTTGACTTTCTGTTCTTTTGTTTCATTTACAGCATAGCTGCTGCCCTAATCTCTTTGTGCAGAGTGTGTTTGTTGAGACTCACAACAGGAATTTCCCCTGGGTTGCATTCTTCACAAACAGGTTTGAAATTTCTTTCGTGCCTTCCGTTCAGTAGAAATGGTGCCAACATCATGAGGAGGAGGAGTGGGTGCAGGAATTCCCCAGAAAGAAAAGTTGTATTAGACTTTAACCCTCGATTGCTGGATTCTGCACTTCCCAGCAGAAAGATCACCAGAGTGTGGGCTGGGAGGCAGCATGGTGTTGGTTAAGAGCGGCAGTCTCTAATCTGGAGAACCAGGTTTGATTCCCACTTCTCCATAAGAAGTCTGCTGGGTGACCTCAGGCCAGTCACAGTTTTCTCAGAACTCTCTCAGCCCCACCTGCTTCATAAGGGGCTTGTTGTGAGGAGAGGAAGGGAAGGAGATTGTAAGCCTCTTTGAGACATGTGAGGCCTCCTGGATGACCTTGGGCGAGTCACCGTTCTCTCAGAACTCTCCCAGCCCCACCTGCTTCATAAGGGGCGAGGAAGGGAAGGAGACTGTAAGCCTCTTCGAGACACGTGAGGCCTGCTGGGTGACCTGAGGCCAGTCACAGTTCTCTCTGAACTCTCTCAGCCCCACCTACCTCACAAGGGGCCTGTTGTGGGGAGAGGAAGGGAAGGAGATTGTAAGTCCCTTTGAGACACCTTAAGGTAGAGAGAGGGGGGGTGGGGTATAAAAACCAACTCTTCTTCATTGGTGGCTCTTTATACAGTGCCTGCGGAACTATGGAAACAGCTTGGTCAGCCATAGCTGAAAGTTGTCCTCCAGGCAAAGTATGAAGTCACGGCTTGAAGAAGACTGTCAAACCATGACTAAGTGGTTATGGCTTGCCTCTCCAGCTTTGCTGGTATTTCCATGTGCATACTATCCGTGGAGTAACCAAAATTGGAACTGGAGCAGGGGGGAGAATGGCTTCCACCTGGACTTGCTAGCAGTCATGACACAAAATATAAGTGCAGCTGTCTCTTTGATTCTTACTATTAATGAGATGATTTGTTTGCTTCCCAGGCATATAAAAGCTGGAACTGAGCTCACGTGGGACTATGGTTACTTACCTGGAAGTATGCCGGAGACAGAGATCCCCTGTCAGTGCGGGTCTCATAAGTGCAGAAAGAAAATCCTATAGTACGCTTTTGTTGCTGTTCTTCTAGACTGATTAGCACTTTGTTTATAGGAAAGAAGGCATTGTGTGTTAATTGGGGCCAGTTGGCATCAGCATAGATCTATAAAAGAAGGTATCATTTCTATTTTTGATTTTACACATGTTTCTTCGGGTCTGAGAAAGGTCATTTATTTCCTAGGGGTATTATTATATTGTAACTGATCTCTCCCTCTTTGTCATTAGTTTATGTTGTATTGTTACTTGTATGGTACTTTGTTTGAAATTTGTTTCATACGTAAGAAAACAGCAAGAGTCCAGTAGCACCTTAAAGAAAGGGGATGATTTCAGATGTCAAATGACATTAGCAGGCAAATCCACACCTGCTATTGTCATTCACCTGCTATTGTCATTTGCCTACTAATGTCATTCGGCATCTGAAATCACTTCTGTGGCGTCCTCTTATTAGGGAGGACTTGTTTTCCCTTTAAATGTGCTCTTTGCTTTTGTAAACGGGGTAGTTTCTGCTGCCACCAGGAATTTAAGGATTTCCAAACCTTCTCTCTGTTTCTTTTGCTGGTAAGGTGACCTGGAGTTGGGGCTTTTAATGGATCTATGTGGTCCTGAGGATAGAACTAAATTCGGGGATAAACTTGAACAAAAGATGATTTATTGAAGTAAGAAGAAATTTGAGGTTGGTTATTCTGTAACTATCTTGGATAAAGGGACTTGAAGATATGTCTATCAAATTTATCACACACAGGCCCTGGTCACACGGAGCATTAGGCACGCTAGAGAGACGGAAGATAGGAGGATTATCCGGGCGCGATCTCACCGCCACATCTGGGAAGTGTAGAGCTCCCGTGGCTCACCCGAGGCTTCACTCTTTAATGTTCTACTGGATTCTTGCTCTTTCCTGCTGCTACAGACAGACAAACGTGGCTGCCCATCTTGATCTTTCTTACATAAGTCTTTGAACGTTTTAAAATATTTTTTTTTAAAAAAAGAAGATATCATTGAATTGGCTGCTTGAAATGTTAGTCACAGGTCCCCCTTTTCTGTGTGGAGTTCAGCACGCAGCTCGGGGGATAGCTGATCTGGTGATTTTGCCTGTCGCTTGACAGACGAAACAAATGATACTGTTCTAAATGCACTTTGGACACGTCTTCTCAGAGGGGTGTTTTAGTCTAGTGGAGAGTCAGCGTCGCGTGGTGGTGAAAGGTAGAAAAGAGCAAGAGTCCAGGAACACCTTAAAGACTAACAAAATACGTGGCAGGGGAGGGGCTCTCGTGAGTCACTGCTCACTTCAGATTAGGTCAGATGTAGGTCAGATGTAGATGACATGGGTTCAGATCCATGGAAGCTCTCTGGGTAACCCTGGGCCAAGCCACCCTCCCTCATCCTAACCTTCTTTGCAGGTTGTGGTGATGATAAAGTGGGAAAGGGAGTCCCTTATATGCCATGATGAGCTTGTGAGCAGTGTTCCCTCTAAGCTGAGTTAGTGTGAGCTAGCTCACAGTTTTCTAGCCTCCAATTCACATATTTTTGTCTTCGCTCAGGAGGATGGCTCCAGAGCAAACTAATTTATGCAGTAGCCCAATCCCTTGCTCACAACTTTCATGCCAGTAGCTCACAAAGCAGAATTTTTGCTCACAAGTCTCCACAGCTTAGAGTTATATTGGACTATATGTATCATATCCTAATAAACTGTTTTGTGGGGGGGGAAACAAGACTCCACAGCTTAGAGGGAGCACTGCTTGTGAGAGGAATAAAAAAAATGTTAGGGTTGTCTAGAAGAAGAAGAAGAAGAGATTGGATTTATACCCTGCCCTTCACTACCCTAAGGTGTCTCAGAGCGGCTTACAAACTCCTTTCCCTTCCCCTCCCCACAACAGACACCCTGTGAGGTGGGTGGGGCTGAGAGAACTCTTGACACAAACTGCTCTTTTTCAAGGACAGCAGTGCCAGAGCTTGCGACTGACCCAAGGTCACATCAGCCAGGTGCAAGTGGAGGAGTGGGGGATCAAACCCGGTTCTCCCAGATTAGAGTCCGCGCACTTAACCACTACACCAAACTGGCGAGAACCTCCTTGTAAGGAGACAGAAGCGGGTGACCAGTTGTAAATTGCCCGTGTTTATGTTGAGCCTTGGGACGGTACTGAGAAAGAGGTCACACACTGTTTCCCCCGTGACAGAAAAGTTATTTACTGAATTGACATAAAAACCTATTTGCCCAGCGTATTAGACTTGTGGATGCACCCCTTCTGATGCAGCATGAGAGTCCTTGGAGGAGTGGAGGGATGCTAGTGGTGGAAAGCGCCGTCAAGTCTGAATGACTTATGGCAACCCCTGGTGGGGTTTTTCAAGGCAAGAGACATTCAGAGGCGGTTTGCCATTGCCTTCCTCTGCATAGCAACCTTGGACTTCCTCAGCAGTCTCCCATCCGAATACTGATCCAGAGCAGAGCCTGCTTAGCTTCCGAGATCTGACGAGATCGGGCTAGCCTGGACCATCCAGGTCAGAGCAGTAGAAGCACGCAAGAACCAGGGGTCATTTCGTAGAAAAAGAGGTGCAGGAGCTCATTAGCATAACTCATTAGCATATGCCGCACCCCCTGACATCACCAGAAGTGTGTCAGAAGGCAACACCCACTGCTCAGGCTCCACTGGACTCCTTTGGATTGCTAGCTATTGGGGGGGGGGACGTGCAGATCTGTCCTCACAGAAGAGGGAGGGCTTGTACCTGAATAAACCTTGGCCTTAAAGGGGCAACTGGACTGTTTTGGATTGCTAGCTGGGGGGAGGGAACGCACTCTGCATCTTACCTGGATGCTTCTTCCTCCTTGTGGCCCGGGGCTGCGGGGAGCAGGGGGCGGGGCTTGTTGCATGTGCCCGCCCCCTGGGCTCTTTACTGCCGGAGCTCCGCTCCTGTGCGTTCCTGCAGGAAATGACCCCTGGCAAGAACTTCAATGTGTACCCCACCTGCTCTTGTAAAGGGAGGGGCAGGGGAAGAGAGGAACAGGTCGGAGGGTCCTTTGAGACAATAGCACAAAGAGAGGAGAGGAATCAATGGCTACCCTGGTAGTTTGAACGGAAGCCGAAGATACCCTCCTGGGTGGATGGCCTCCAGTGCCCAGATGCAGATATGACATCTTCCCCTCTTTCATCCACTCAGACCAATTTCGCACAAGAGCTGTGCTGCGGTCGTGCCTCCCTTTGCCCTGCTTCTATTGGTCAATTTCCCACTAGGTCCTGTTTTTTGAGGATTACGAAACCGCGGGGGAAATCGGGCAAAGCCGCGGGTCAAAATGCAGCCGCACGGCTTCAAGTGGGAGATTGACCAATAGAAGCGGGGCAAAGGGAGGCGCGACTGTGGCGCAGCTCTTGTGTGAAATCGGTCCCAGAGTCATAAATCAGATGAAAGTAGGGATGCCTTCCTCCAGGTGGGACCTGGGGATCCCCTGGAATTACAGCCCATTTCCAGACGACAGAGATCAGTTTCCCTGGGGGAAATGGATGCTTTGGAGAGTGGACTCTGTGGCTTTGTACCCCACTGAGGTCCCTGTCCTCACGAGGCTCCACCCCCAAATCTCCAGGAGTTTCCCAACCTGGATCTGGCAACCCTGCCCCCCCCCATTCCCCCACCGGTGGCCAGGAGGGGGGGACCTTGCAACCATAGATAAAATTCAATGATGTTTGCTACATTATTATATAATAAAATGGTAATAGAAGGCAAAAACAAGTGTAGTTAACAGACTCACCCATTACAACTTGCCAAAAAGCTGAAGAACATGTAATAGCAATGTATACAAAGTAGCTACAGTGAAAAAGTACAAAATGTAAACAATAGAGAACTGGTAAACAATAGAGAACTACTAAATAGTACAAGGTTGTGTCCGGATGTTTGATTACTGCCGGTCCCACTGCAAGTCTGAAGCTGATTACATGTTGGAGATTGGTGTTCGATTTTGTATTGAATTGTTACTGTTCTCAATGCATGTCAATAAGGGTATGAGAACCACGGCAGCTTAATGGGAACACCCTGATGAAGAATGAACTTTGAAACGTTGTATTCAAACATCCGGACACAACGTCCTATTATTTAGTAGTTCTCCATTGTTTATACATACCAATTCTCTATTGTTTACATGTTGTACTCTATTGTTTACATGTTGTACATACCAGTTCTCTATTGTTTACATGTTGTACTTTTTTACTGTAGCTACTTTGTATACTTTATTCTCTATTGCATGTTCTTCAGCTTTTTGGCAAGTTGTAATTGGTGAGTGACCCTAGATAAAAGCCACATCTTGGTGCCTGGAGGTTCCCCTTCAGAGAATCAAGGAGTAAACCAACATGCATCTTTTTCATGGGCAACTATGTCCCATCATTAAATGGGCCCAGTTTTCTTCTTAATGCCCACCTGTTCTCAATACACCTTTTAACATATACAAAAGTGTTGCACATCACACGCAAAACACCTGTCTTCAGTTGTCTGATATTATGTGGACCTGCACCAAATGAACGCCTTGTGCGTAGCATTAGCAATTTCACCTTTGATGTCAGCTTGTGAACTGGGGACTTCTCCCTGTCGCGTTCTGGGACCTTCCCCGTCATTGGTACCTAACATCCCCTGGGAAGAAGGAAAGCCTGAACAGTAAATGGAACCAAACAATGGCTGAGGAAAAACCAGGTGCTGAACAGTTCTGATTCTCCAGTGGAAAACTCCTTCATTTGAAGGAGGGCAACCTGCCTTAAAGTAGCCCAACCAACATTCTAAAAAGCTCAGTGGGCACCTCCTGGCTTTGTGTCATAGGCAGTACAGCTGTGATATTTGGGAAGATGTGCCACATGACTGAATTTCTAAATTTATCAATTAATGGCCGGTGTGGTGTAGTTAGAATTGGGCTAGGGTCTGGGAGACCCAGGTTTGAATCCCCACTCTGCCATGGAAACTTGCTGGGTGACCTGGGTAACCTACCTCACATGGTTGTTGTGAGGGTAAAATGAAGGAGAATTATGTAAGCC